ATAAGAATTGTGCATAAGATGGGGTATAGGGATCACACCAATGGAGCTTTCATACAGTCTAAATTGTTAAAATTTTTTGATTTAGTGGGATATAAGACTGCAGTGTTTATGTATAAAGCCAGGAACAATTTATTACCTGGTGGAATTCAAAAACTATTTAATGAAAGGGAAGGGGGATACAATTTAAGGGGTCAGTTAAATTTAAAAATTCATGCTATACGTACAACCAAAAAAGATTTTGTATTTCTATAAGTGGGGTAAAACTATGGAATACTTTAAGTGTGGACATAAAAAATAGTAATAGACTTGATGAGTTTAAACATAATGTTAACACTTTGTAATAATTCTTTAGTATATTACTTGTGTGGTGTAGAAGATAATTATGTAAGAATGTAATTATAGATAATTATGACAATTATAGAATTGACGAGTTTAAACATAAATATAAAGGTATGTGTCAATCAAGATATATGCAAGAACATGCTCAATGATTAATTACATGGACAATTGTGGGTGTGGTGTACATTTTGTAAAAATTCTTTAGTATATTACTTGTGTGATGTAAGAATGTTAACACTGTTATGTTCTTTTTTTAGTATAATATGTGTGTGGGTAGAAGCGAATCATTTATTGCTTGCAAACCAATGATGGTAAGATGATGTCAGGGGGTAGGACTGGATAAGTCTGACTTCTTCCTACTCCATTCAAGCATGTACTAGGTATAAGCAAATTGATATTGGATTATGTGTAAAATTATGTGTGTTGTCATATCAACTGTTTTTACATGCTTGAAAGAATAAATCAAATCAAGCTGATTTCTAGGAAATGTGCATTGAAAGTTAAGAGGTTTTATTTGAGTAAAGTTAGAAGGAAACTAGGACTCCCCAGGAATTATTACAACAAAGAACACAAATATTTTGGCAGGGCTTCAAACATCAAATGTTTTTTTAATCAAGGAATTTCATACTTGTCTTATCAAGTTTAAAAATTCAGTCCCACGCAATCTCACCCACACGATACTAGATCCTTTGCCCCTCTTTTCTTTTTTCACCAGTGTCCTGATGGGATGCGTTGAATTCATGCACCATAGGGGCCTCTATTTGCTTTAAGTGGCCCAGGACAGCCTCCAAGTTATCTCAAGCTTCAGGTTTTTCCTCATTGAGTAGGTGCCCCTCGTCTGGTTTAGCCCCCAGCTGCCCTTTGAGAGTTGGTGGTGCTAATGATGAACCTGAAAAAGCCTGATCTCCACTGATTCCACACATGCACAGTAGGCTTCAGGTTTGGGAAAAATGCCATCTCACAATGTTAATCAATCTTAATCTTTTTTGTCAAAACAAAACTCAGCCTTAAATGCCAACAGGGTGGACAAACTGTCAGTAGTGTGATTGATAATGCAGCGATTTCCAGTTAATTTTAGGAGAATAATTGCTAAATAAATGTAAAGGTACTTAGAAAACTGTAAAACACAGTTCTATGGAAAACCACAATGTCATTAATTCAGAACTTTTAAAACTGCTTGAGGGCACGTTTAGGTGGGTGGAGTACGTCAGTGCATCAGTGAGTGCATGATTATTGCAGTGTCAGGGTTTGGTCGCAAGAGGGCGCCCCATCGTCATACATGCAGGAAGACAAAAGGTGAACAAAGGACAAATCTCTGGCCTCCTCCATACTGAAACTCAGCATGTAGAAGGTCCTCCTTGTAGTTTACAGTGCTGATTGCTTTTTGAAACCAACTCTGTACAAAAATGATGCTAAAAATCATGATTTTTTTTCATTCAGTCATTTTTTCAATTGGCAAAAAGCAACTCAGGAAAAGTGGGTTCTTTTTCAACTTTACATATAAAGTTGACAGGAGTTTAAAGTATCAGCAGACAACGAGGGAATCAAAGAAACAGGAAGAGCCCTCCTTGCAGAAACGCTTACTGAAGGACTGGCCAGGTGTGCATGGAGGACACATTTTTGCATGACATAGCCTGATTTTTAATGCATTTAAATGCATCAAAATCATCTTAATTTTTTTTAAGTTTTAAGGTATTTTTCCTAGTGCACTTCCCCTCTGCCTGTTTTCACAGGCTAAGTAGTATCCTACTGTTAATGACAAAGAGAATTTTATATGAAAAACGATTTCACCTGTGAAAATGATACACTAATACACAGTAACTGCATCTATATAATATCACACACATGAATAAATCATGAGTTATAGTCAGAAACTCCACTATAGTGCATTAGAAATTTAATTCAAATTAAAGCACTACCAAAATGTAACAAGCTATGTGCATAAACATTAATGAACAAACCCACTGTTGCATATTGGAATTATCTTTATTTGTTATATTTAATATTGTTTTTACATACTGTAAAGAGACATATTCCTTTTACACATATAGATTATATGGTTCATTTGTATCTGTATATATGTACACCTTAAATAAATCTTACATCAACACCAAGAAATCAAAATATTTACAGTGCAAGAATGTTCATTAGTTGTCAGCAGTCACGGTCACTTACCCTGGTAGGTCCTGATCAGTGCCGAGCTCACGTGCTGATTTTCTTTTTGCTTTTTTCTCTCACCATTCATGTGCTCACACAAAAACATCATGTGGACTTCAGAGACAAGAAATGAAACATTTGTTTTGATGGGTTTTAGTGCACAGGTACAGTATGCACATGTTACCTTAGTGGGTATATATGGCCCTTACTGAGCTGTTGAAGCAGTAGTTAGACATTTTGGGAAATATACTTATTTACTTTTTTTTGCTGAGACTAAAACATATGAATCTACTGTCAGCAAATGGTTAGCTCACCTTAGCACCCCACCCTGCAGTACAGTGATATAACACAGTCCATGAGAGAGAGTCTTCTCTCCAAACTCTGCAACAAAGTGAATAAATCTATTTCTCAAAATGTCAAATTATTCTTTTAAAAGAAAAGGGCGAGTGAAACCAGAGCTGAGGTGTAATCATGTTAACGAGGGTGTGTGGGCGCTCCGAGGGAAGAGTGTAATGGCGAATACGCACAGGAGAATTTCACAAGGTGCATGAGTCATCATAGAAGCCTTGAAATGGACTCTGAATCTGGGTGGTGGAAAAATATACAACATGAGAGCATACTACAATATACGGTCGTTTAACATTGAACTCTGGTTTACTGGCTGATTTTCCTGTTCTTCTGCAGCCTGTATCACGGTGGCAGCATCTCTAAGTCCTACTTGTTGAATCCAAACAGGCAAAATGGTGTTTAAAGCCCTGAACAGCAAACTGGACAGGCATGTTTACAGCTGAATGCATGCTAATTAGACAATGTAGGTTTGCTCAGTAATAATGATACTAAAGGGCATTTGTGTCCGTTTCCATCTACGATTACAGAAAATAAATAAAAGTGAATAAAGCACATGTGTGAACCATTTACTGTATATTTACAAAGTAAAACCAATGAGTTCTTGGTGTTCCTCTCTGCATGGATGCATAAAAGTGAATTTATATGGTTGGTCTAAGCTCAGCTGTACAGCCGGTGGGTAAGCAGCCCAGACGCCTTGCATGCATTTCTCCTCACACATTCAGAGAATCTATATACTATTATTTTACAGTTCTGCTAAGCTGCTGTACAGAGGCGCTGCTGAGGTAAACAGGGTGTTTCTGGCCAGCTCTAACAGGAACGGGTCCGTTTTAGGAGAAACCACCTCCTGCTTTCTTTTACAGGTGTTTTGGACGTCTTCGGTCAGGGAGGAGCGGGGGTGCAGTTCTCAGTGAAGAGACACACTTTATATTGCTGTTAAATCTGTGTATGTAGCTTACAGACAGACTGTGGTTATAATTTCTACTTCTAGTATAAAACATAATATTAGTGTGTATGTTTTTTTGCAATTAGCTGCAAATACACTGGTCGTATAGTGGATAAATTTAAGGAATGGTCATTGTGTGGTGACTTTACATGCAGACTGCACACATGCACACTAAAGCACCTTTGATTAGAAAAGAAAATCACACACGTTGGATACATGTTGACATTTTCTACACAGAAACTGAGCACTGGTTTGCATGAAGAAGTTCTGAAATGTGTTTGAAAAAGCATATTCTTAAATGTTGACTGGTATTATTCACCTCCAAGTGTCTATTTTTTTGTTTTTACATGCAGTTGGCTCCTTGAAGCTACTACCACAGGACCTTGACTAGCCTGAGAGCTGAGCCCAGTTCTACAGTGAACAAAGCATTACATATCGACTAATCTAAATAAACCATGACGCTTAAACACTGCTAGGTTTGTTTCAAATATTATTATTTTGACATTGACTTCATTATGGAGCCTCAATGGGCCTAAAGTACTCATGCTTTTTACCAACCAGTGAAAGATATTGAAGGTTAGCATATATTTTGAGAGGCTAAACTTCAGTTAGGTTTTTTTTTTTTTCCTCATCTTTATCGGTCGGTGCTTGTGAAGCGTGAAAAGTTCTGTACAATCAGAACATGTGCTCAGTGGCAAAAGATGAAAAGAGGAGCAGATTGTCAAGAGGACTCTACACCAGCTAATACTGCTACAGAACACCTAATGCTACTTCAATATATTCATAAATCCAAAATTTATAAAAGAAGAGTCCTCTGAGGAGACATTCAGGGGTGGAAAACGGCATCGGGCAGTGAAAAGGGGAAGCTGAAACTCATCACTCAGACTGAGCACAGATGAATCTGCAAAGAAACTAAACAAAACTAGAAAAAACAAAGAAGTTCATCCACTTAACAAGAGTCTTTCATCTGCTGTTGCTTGGGTGCAAACCCACAGCGTGTTCAGGACAAAATCCTCATGCACACCGTTTGCTATTTCCTCATCCAGTTTCCTCTTCGTCTGTTGAACTAGTTCATATATGCTTCAGCACAGTCACTGCATTTATTATTATTGTTTAACTTACCAGGAATATTCTTGATTCCAGCTCAACTAGTGACACTAATGGCATGCATAACGGTTCTATATTTGGATGATAACCCCTTAGCCCCTGTACCTGCCAATTAAATAATAAATAATAAATAAAAAACCACTCATGTCAGGCCAACGCTAAACCAGACAAGCCAAAGTCGTGTTCCTCTGTTGGTTTATCCACTCCAGATCAGCACCCGTTTACTGGGAGAGTCCATATATATAGATTATCCTTTTGTACAGCCCTCCTCTTTCTTCTTTTAGTCTGGGGTAAAGGATCACAGAGTTCAGGTGAGGATGGTTGTAGTGGTGACGAGGGAGAGGAAGGAGGCCCTCACACGGTCACTGGACAGGAAATGTTCTTGTTCTCCAGCATGACGCTAACCACCAGGAAAACGAGGTACAGCGTGAACATGATGAAGCCGAGCAGCTTGCTCATGCGCCACTTGCAGGCGGCGATGGAGATGATGACGAAGAGGAGCATGAGGAAGAGAAGCACAATGGCACAGAAGAGGCCGTTGGAGCTGACTTGCACCGGTTTCAGCCCATTGACCGAGGACCACATGAGCCAGGGGAACGGCAGGCTGCAAATAGACAAACACAGTGCTGTCCAGATGTGTTGCTGTGGGACATTTCACAAACCTGTCAGAGAAGCTACAAACTCAGTTACTAAGTCAATAAAAAGCACCGTGGGTACTGTAGAAGGAAACAGTTCTGTATTTTGGGTAGACTAACCCTTTAAAGGATACCCTCTTATGTATAATTTGCATTACCCCAGTTAATTTATTACAACACTTTATGAATACAAATCTAGTTTAAATAGTATTCTGGCTAGACAAAATATAAAAATATGAGACTTTCCTCTTGACATCAGGGCTCACACACCATGCAGTGAGAGAACTTGGCAGCAGCTGAGAATCTTGTTTTTGTTGACCTAAAGCGACTTCATTTCTCACCCTGTTACAACTGATGTGAGCGGGATTTGTAGTTATGTGTTAATGAGTTACGCTGCAGCTCTGGAGCCTGAGCACTGTCGCTAGAGGTAAAAGTAAATACCGCTAACTGCTATAGCATTTAATCCCTATATAGCCAGATTACGTATGATACATTCATCAGGTGAAATCAGCTGCTTAGCCATCACAGGTACAGTATATAGTGCATGACAAGGCCAGTGCCATGCACATACAACTACAGTTTATTACGGGTGTGTGTTAAGAAACATCATGGAGAGGAGAATGAAAGGCAGTCTGCACACAGATGATATCCAGCTGATCCAGCCCCTTGTGTCTAGCAGACCACCAGCTGTGAGAGTGCACTCCCTGACGTGACCGTTAGGTGTGGTTAGCGCTAACTGTGTACCCCACTGACCACCACCAGCAAATAAGATCTTCTGAATTTAGGAAATCGAGCTCTGATGCTTCTGACAGACTGTGCAAAGCAGACGCTAGTTCAAAAAAAAGGACCTGACTACAGAATAAGACTTTAAAGACCCTGCACAGAGACAGATCGTGCTCAGGTGGCGTACCCAACAGTAATGTCGAAGATGTTGGAGCCTACGGAGCTGGACACAGCCATGTCACCCAGCCCCTTGCGTGCCACAATAACACTGGTGATGAGGTCAGGGATGGAGGTCCCGGCAGCTAATATAGTCAGGCCCATAATCTCCTCTGCAATCCCAATGGTATCTCCAACCTGCAAATCAGAAAAAAAAGAACAAAGCTTTAGGGTAAATAAAACCTAAGCTTTTGTTCCAGCTATTTCTAATTTCCTTGTGATGCTTGTGGATGGAGGTGACAAAACTCAAGCTCTGATCATCTCTCTGTGTCGAATAAAACAGCTGTTATTATTTATGAGTGGGTGGATTATACACTATGGTTTAGCTTTAAAATTCAAGGATTAGACACAGAGAAAAGATGGCTACATCTCGCCTTTGTTGACAGGATTATGCTTATATGAGAACACCATTACTGTTGTAAAATCACAGTGTCATGTCCTGTTGTTGTTGTCTTTGAGATGTGTGTACCTGGTGAGCCCACCACACCATTAGGTAAGAGAAGCCTGCAATCCAGCAGATGGCACCCAGGAAGGTGATGGGGAAGAACTTCTTTGATGACTGAGATGAAAGCAAATAGTCAATTTAGCAGCAAATGCACACGTATGCAGATAAAACTGATGCTATTCATGTTTTAAAGGTTTTGTTTCTTAGTCCTAATTCATCTCAGGCTGTCTGTATACACACACACACACACACCGGTTTCCTGACATCAGGCAGCGTTAGCCACAGGGGGAGGACGATCGGCATGATGAAGAGGTAGGTGAAGCGCTTGCGGTTGGATTCGGGCCACGACAAACTCAGGGGCTGGTCCTCTTCCTCCTCATCCTCAGCCTGAGGGGAGACACCAAAAGTAAAACACGTTACAAACCATTTATCATGGGTAATACCCCAAAATACATGTACGTTTGTTTATTTTTGGTCTGGAGGAGTCACATACGAATGCTCTGCGGTGACCTTAAGGCAGAGGAGTCTGAGGACTGTGATTTGGGAGACCGAGCTGAGCCTGAGGGGCTCTGGCTCTCCAGTCATCACTGCTGACTGCTGATGGTGGCTGCACCGGCAGACCCTCGGGGTCTGATTGGACCTGCCACTGGAATGCCAAGTGAGCCAAAGACCATCACCTCTGCAAATCAGCATCCAATAAACTGTCGCTGTCTATGAGATGACATGTAGTAAGGCACCAGCGGGTAGGCGAGGAAGACGGCCAAATGATCTTATTATTTACCCGTCTGTCTGCATTTACAAAAGCCTCAATTCAACATTCTGGTACTTGTAAGCTTTAACAGCACACCAACAAAGCCTTCTGAAAGCAGGAAGATGTCCTGGGATCTGTTGTATCTAGTTTTACAGGATGCTAATGAGCTGCGGGGGCCTGCTGAGATCAGGCCCACACATGCTGAGCAGAACACACTGATGACCTGCAATTTGTTTTCCTGCCCTTTGAGAGTGATGTTAAAGTGAAAAAAAAGGCAGCAAACAGGAGCAGCTGTTTAAGTTTCTCACATACATAACTGGTTAAAGACTTTCTACTATTGGTTAACGCAGCTTAGTGAGGAAAAGGGGGCGCTGGGTTCGATGCAAGGCATCATATTTTCATACATACACAGCAACTGAGCATATGGTAGGAAGGAAAAGGACAGATGCTGCTCGGTAAACGGTCATTTTCTCAAGAAAATCATTTCTGCCTTAGCTTCAATCACATCAGCTAAGCAGAGAATGAACTCTTTAAAGATGGCTGCTGCATGAATCATGAATCATATGGAGCTCATCCCGCTGTGACAGCTACGCTGTCGAGGACTGCCTGGTGACTTTGGTAATCAGAGCTGACAAACAAAAGGCAGAGCTTCTATCACTTACGCTTAGTATTGTGATTTCCTCTCTTCTCCATGGCCAGATGGGTTCGTGTTAGAACCTGAGGCTCTGTGAAGATTCATTCTGAGTCAAGTGTAAACACATGAGAGGTTCTCATTGGTGTTTCTATTTATTGACAGCAGTGCTTGTTGGATAATACCAATAAAAGCTTGTGCTTAGATTCTAGCAGGAAAAGTTGCACGTTGCATTGCCCTGCAGCTCTTTCCTAAAACACCCCAGAGAGCTAGAGCCGCCGACTCGATTCCCAAATGCCAGCCCCTCGGTGGCCTTTCCTGCTCCGTGGTGCCTCAGTTGGCAACACTGCCAACTCTGAGCTTAAAGGCACTGACTTTTACCAGGCAGCACAGCACTGCGAGGGGAGGCGTGACATTTGAGGTTTTTTTTCCAAGCGGGGGAAGCGCGCGTGCTGGCACCTGGTTAGGTAACAAAGGTACAAGATGTGCAAATGGTTAAAAATATTCTTTGTAGGCACAGCTCTAAAGAGCCTGCAGCACTTTGGTGATCTAACGTCTAGTGTCATGGAAAAGACTAAATGCAACCATCGATCTGAAATGACTTATCCTTTCATAAACATCTGCACTTCTCCTCCTCAACATGCTTATGCAAATAAAGTGGGCTTTTGTGTTCAGTACGTTTCTTCACAAACTACACTCGTTTCTTTTAACAGCTTGAAAATTTTTCTGGTAGCAGTGTGACATTGTTGGCATCATAGATTCAGCTTTTTGAACACGACCCTTTATTGATGTACGACTGCAACAGCTGCCAATATCAGCATCTGCTATTTGGATTCATGTTTTTGACACAGAGGCTCCATTTGGGTCTGAAAGTCTTATACTATTTAGCAAAAACTATGCAAAAGGAACCAGATATTCAAACCAGATCTTACTTCTATTCTGAAACTCATGATAAAGATGATACATGGCTTACATAGTTGTAAAAGAATAGGTGGGATGAGTCATAAGATCCTGTCAGTTATGATTCCCTTTAGTTTCCCAGTATGTTATTTAATGAAGCGTTTAGAGAAGATTTACAGTCTCACAAAATGTGAGCTGATCGTAGATGTTTTCAGGGAGAGACAATTTGCTCTGAGTCACTCTTAATGTCTGTTGTTTTGGGAAATATGACAATCACGACCGTTTCTGGCATCACTGCACTCGAGGGTTTCAACAAAATAACAGAGTAAAGAGATTGTGCTCGAAGTCTGCTGCACATTTTAATTTGACCTTAACCACCCCCTTATTCTCCCATCTCTGCTGCCAAGGCATCCGGGGGGAATCGAACAATTAGTACGACGGGGCCTCAGGCGGCATGAGAGTGTGTGAGCTGTTTCCAGCTACTTCCTGGCTGACACAGACAGGTGTGGGACAGAGCACTATAAATAGCGCCATGTGAGAATTAGGCATGCCAATAAGTGTTCAGCTCTTCCAAATTCTGTGAATCACCATCTCGAGGCTGCACTGTCTTCACTTCTACACAAATATTTTCAGCTGCAACTGATGACAGTTTTAGCAGTAATGATTATTAACCCCAAATCTTTCTGAAACATCTTAGCAATGATCATCTTGCAAAACAGAATAAATAATCTCTTAACTGTGTTTAATAATCTATCTCCAACCTCAACATTTTAGGGTTAAGTACAAAGAATACTTCAGGCACTCTTAGGTGAAGCAAGGAAGGAGTATGTTAAAAGCCTTTATTCAGTCAGGCATCTCAGTAACAAACACTGACCAGGTCTTCATCAAGGTGGAAACGTACATTTTTTTGCACCTGATACTTTATTATCCAGCTTAGACCCTGGCTGAAACACATACAGTGGTCTTAAATGTCCCAACTATCCCAGGGATGTATCATCAGTCACGTCTGACCGCCGGCTGTTGCATGTGTAATCCTGAACTCATGTTAAGCAAAACTAGTAAGCCTGTCTTATAGACTGCTGTATCTTACCAAGGAGGGATGTCATGCTGCTACAGTATTAGGCATAGAAAAATCTTTGTATTTGAAGAATTTTTAGTCCCAACAACACAGTAAACTAGAACAGTGTTATTCATAGACTGGGCTTTGATTCAAAAGAAGACTGCTCACAATTCAAATCTGTCTCTGGAGTATTGTGGAGACCTTCCTGTGCAGAACTGCTGGCCACATTACAGTTTATTTGCAAAGCCTTTACAAATCCCCACAATAATGTTAAGGACTAAAACTTAAAAACTCCAAAACCCAAATTAATCTGTTTATGCTTTACAGAATGTAATCACTGACAATAAACAAGGAATTTGCAGCTCATACAAAAGTATTTGCTCAAGTTCCTTTAACATTTGAAACTAGATATTTCAGCCAAGAAGAAAACTTTTTAATCTTTGCTCTGTCTGGCAGGGTTCCCTCTGTCTAAGGCCATTCTAATGAGTGAGAATGACGACACACCTGTCTTCTCTGCCCGCTCCTCTTTCAATGTTCAACACTGAGTCTCTGCCCTCGTGCACCAGTGCTGTGTGCTGGCTCGGCTGGTCACACCGCCGTCCCTCATGCGGCGGGTGCCCTCCTGAGGCTCTGTGCGCCTGGCTACATGTGTGTGCAGGCGCTGCTCCCCTGTAGTGGTGGGGAGCAGCAGGTGAGAGTGAGGAGTGTGATTACAGAGCTCAGTGGCAGCAGGCGAGTCATTGGCAGGTCTGGCTGAATATGGAGAGACTCACCCGAGTGCATGCTGGGAAATTATCCACAGCAGTGACCTGTACCATAGTTGGTGGAACCTTAGCATCAGTGACACTCGAGGTGGAACAGACGCAGCTGAGAGACATAAAATATTGATAAATGTCTGTTTAACTCTGATATAAGTCGGTCGCCTTTTTCTAACACAACCCAGTTAAATTGCCAGGGGATCAACACAAAGGATGCTGGTAAAACACTGCAGTTTCCTCCTCTGTCCTCATGTGTGTGCATGTGTATACTGTGCCTTCTTACCGTCTCCCCCTCCTGCCCTGCTGTTCCATTCATGGGCGGTGTCACTTCCACTTCCACGTTGGAGCTGTTTGGAAGGTTCATATCTGCGGGAAGTTTGAAGAATAATTAAAGTAAAAAGCATTTAGAGGGACACACGCTGCCATGACCTAAAACAAACATGAAAGTGTTAGTCGTTGTGATGTGGAGAGAAGTGGGAGACAGTATCTAAGCGGTGTTACACCATTAACCCTTCTCAGTCTTCTAGGCACAAACTGTATCAGTTTTGATTAACTGACTAATTGTTTCAGCACAAATTCATTAGCTGGTCTCATTCGATGCATGTCATTATGATGTGGCTAATCACACTGACAACTTCAGGTCAGTATATGAGAATGTTGCGTTCATATTTCCATTTGTATTGAGTTGTAAGCATAAGAATTATAGGAGTGCACAAAGACTGATCGCTCTTCCTCATCTCATCCTATTGGCTGATAGGACTCCCATTTCATTTGAGGTCAGACTTACTTTATAGTCCTTATTAAAATGCAATGAGCCAAAAGCCATGTAATCAGATAATAAAACTATAATTGCTGTGGAAATTGCTTTAATCCAAATGTGGTTGTGACACAATTAGAGAGCTCCTCAGACAGATAATGTGACTTATAGCGCTATCGTCCAACACATGACCTCACTGCCTCGCTCGGATGCTGTGAGAATGTAGATAAAGAGGGGATATGAATCATATCACATGCTTCATTCACTAAACTACTCTGACAGTGAGTCTGTTTTTCACTACAGACACCACAGGGCAAATCAAAGATATGCGAGGCCTGAAAAGTAAACTATGCTGTGGTGACTACCAGTCGTGCATTTTAATTTAGATGCTAATATGTTAATGCTGCACCGTTAGCATAATTTGGCCTTGTTGATAGAACATCTACGTCTGGCTCTGACTAGACTGCGTGATGAAAGCGCTTCCTCTGGCCTCCTGTCCAGCCTTTGGCCCAGTGCTCTTTGAAGTAAAAAATGCATAAATTATACTTGGCAGTGACTGTGATTGATTTAAATACTGCTTGAAGACAACACTTTCAATCACTTTGACAGTTCTTGGTAATGGCATGCTTGTTTAACATCGGATGTGAAGCTCATTTACAATTTCACTGAGCAGTTCTCGTGAGTAACAGAAGGAACATGAAGCTGGGTAATGCCAAGTCATGAAGTCTCAGCAAGTGGAACATGGTCTTTGGGAATAAACTGACACTTTGGACAAAAGAACACACTTTCTTGCCAAGACTTAGTTGAGAACATTATCACTCTCATATTTGTGTGGTAAATTTGCCAGTGGCCAGTTAGTGTAGTTTAACATAAAGCAAACTCTCCCTCCTCTCTCATTTGTCCTGAAGGTTTGTCTATTTGCTCCCATTCCAAGTCTTTTGGGAGTTTTTCTTCATCGTATATGAAGGTCTAAGGACGCAGGGTGCTGAATGCTGTACAGACTGATATTGGGCTACAGATTATAAATAAGATTAAGCCTATCTTAACTTGAAACAATCAATAACTGAATCCCAATTTCCTTACTTTATCATCCCAAAGCTCTTATTTCTGCTCTAGGGACTGAGGAGGCTGCCTGGAAGAGTGTATAACTGAGGATACATGAGTGCATCCTTTGTGGAAGTCTGTGATTGCTTGAGCCGCCCCTTTACTGGAAATCAGTTGGATGCCTGACGTGTTAAAACGTGTGTCCTCAGTTCCTCTCTCCTCACAGTTTATCTTTGCATCTTTATCGTGTTTCTTACGTGGGCGGAACTAAGATGCAAAGAAAGTGAGGGAAACGTGGATGCAATTAACGGAATTTGGATCCACATTCTGTGTCTTTGTTCAGTCTACAGTCTTTATGCTAAGCTAAGATAGCCAGCTGCTGGTACTTGGTGTATAACCGTTCATTTAACGTCTGAGGAGAACGAATATAGCCAAGACCTTTTTACCTGAACAGCTTGCTACTCCATTGGCTTTCTCACTGTCTTCCACTTGGCATTTCTTCTTAGCAATCTTGTGGAGGATAGACGCCTTCTCACGAAATTTACCTGCAAGAAAATTGCCACCGTTGTTAAACACAGAAGAAAGCGGTGCACATGTTTATAGGCCCTTGGCCTCATCCCAGTCAGAGCTCCCTCGCTGTCACCTTTGACTTTAGATGGTTCACATTTCAGAATCTCAGTACAAACAGGCCGGAGGCACAAAAGTGCCGTTCAAACATCGACAGTCAGTATAACATAATATATTGTATACTGATGATCCTGCATTGTCCCGGTCCTTGTGGAGGCAAAGCCAGCAGTAAAGATCTGCCTTCAGGAGGTCAGATACGGTCATATCAGTGTCAGAGGCTAAAAGCAACCTAAGGTTTTGCTGAGGAAAGCAACACAGCACATCAAAGATAAACGTATAGGTTTAGGACACTGTATTTGAACATTTAAACAGGAAGGACCTGATTTTATCATTATTATGGCCCTTCTATTTTAGTTTTATGTGTAATGGAGTTCACCCTATTTTAAGTACAGATGCCGTGTTAAACATTTAAAAGTCACTGGCAGTGACAAATACATTTTTGTTGAGGTGTAATTATTGATTCCATAGTTCAGCCATACTGGTGAGAGGACAGTGTGAGGCAGGAGACTGAACTGAATTGAACAATGTGACCTTGTGGCTTACACAAGCAGCGTGCCCTCTTGACGTTACAAATAACAGCCCGCACAAGGCCAGTCTTCTCATGTTGTGTAGACTATCTCTGCAAGCTGGTATTATTCAGTGGCAGCATTTTTATTTGAAACCAAACTGTGTGGTAAAATGTTTTCTTCAGGTGTATGACCTCTCGTGCTTCATACTGCCCTCACGTATCCATATTTAATTTCACCGACGTCCTGTATGTGTCAGTCTTTGCATGTATGTAGTCCAAATCAGCGCGCTGCAATCAATTTGAAAGATTTTTACTTCTTTACTTTACAAGGGCATGGCTGATCTGTCAGTGCCTGACGCAGTGATGCGTCGATGCATACTCCACCCAGCCCTGCCAACTCTGTCTGTGACCTTCTGGCAAAATCATTATCCAGCCTAAGTCACCGCCGCCTTCCTCCTGTCTCCTCTCTCTCACTCTGCATTTCTCCATGGCCTCTGCTTTGCTCTTCAGTCTATCTTAGACAAACACCATCTTTCTCTCACTTTCACGTTGTCTGTTTGGCAACACACACAGTCCCTGCATCCCTCCCTCTCTCTTTCAGACACACACACACACATATACAGGCAACACACACAGTCCCTGCATCCCTCGCTCTCTCTTTCAGACACACACACACATATACGCTGAACATTTTCACAAGACAACATCACACATTCCACTGCCTTGGCATCACTCACCTCAGGCGGTGCTTGTCATTTGGTTGTGTATGGCAGAGAATGTGCCTTTGTTCGTTTACACAAATGTGGGTGTGAGATCATTGTCTCTGCATGGGTCTACAAGTAGCAGGGCTGGGCCTTCTGCTGCAGGCATTCATAGGAAATTCTTTAATGTTGACAAAACCCACTGTCATTATGTTGCAGTATGTGCTGTGAAAATATTTCTACCAAGACATACAAAGGCCCAGAAGCAGTGAAAATGAGGGGGGAAGCATTACAAGTTGTCAGCAAACTCCAGAACAAGTGGAAAAGTTGTAGTAGCTTAATTTTCTGTTTGTTTAGGGAAATTGTTTTACCACCTGTTAAATCAGAGGTGAAAAGTAACTAAGCACATTTACTCAGGTTGTGTATTTAAAGAGTTTTGAAGTATTTGTGCTTTACTTGAGAATTTTTATTTTCATTTTTCAGAGAAAAACACAGTAATTTTTTCTCACTACATTTATTTGATAACTTCATTTACTTTTCAGAATGTGATGAATTAATACAAGATTTATTGATCCTTGGTAGAAAATACACAATCTACCCAGAAGTAATTCAAATTATAGGCATATAAGGTAGTTACAATTAGCTCCACCTTTACTGGCTGCAACATTAAATGTGATGTACACAGTAATTATAACCAAATATATGATACACATCATTATTAACTGTGCCATTTTGCATAATGAGTACATTTACTCTGGGTAATTTAACTATATTCTACACTAATACTTTTATTTAAGTAATATTTTGAATGCAAGACTTTTACTTGTAACAGAGTATTTTTACACTGTGGTATTGCTGCTTTTACTTAGGTAAACAATGTGAGTACTTCTTTAACCACTGTATAAAGTACAGCGCGTTCCGCTTTTGGACATGCACCCATTTTGGCTGGTTTACTTAATAAAGTAAACTTTATTATCTTAAATTGATAAAAAAAAGACGTAAATTTGGATTTAACTACTGTCTTATTTACTTTTATGAAATAATTTAATAAATTATGGATATGTCTTCATTTACAGACAACAGCTTGAAAACATAGTAAATATTCAGCTTTTGCTAAAGCTAACTGTGCCTATCTCACTAGCTAGCTTCCACCTGATGCAGCTCTCTTGCTCGTCTCGTTGGCCGTTTCCACAAATTACCAAAGCCAAGTCTCGTTAGTCAAGCCCAGGCAGCAACAGAAGGCCTGGTGAGTTTACTGAGGTTTGGCTTCACTTTGTGCTCTCCTCTGTGGTTACTGCACATTTTAAAATTAAACCCTTATGTGGAATTATTTTCTGCTCGGTTAAATAGATTCAAGTCTTAACTCGCTTTGGACCAAATATGCAGTTACTGCTCTTTTCTTTGTAGGGAATCGTTTGAAAATTTGTTTCCCCAGTGATTATGGCCACAAAAACGAACAATTAGTTTAGCTGAAATTTTTCTCGACTAAAAAGGTAAAAGCGCTTCAGTAAGTGTGTGAAATCGGATTCCTGGGAGGTCCAGTTAAGGTGCACACAATGTTGACACCACACAATTTGCATAATGATGAAGCAATTGCAGAGTGTTTAACAATAACCAAGTCCAGCCCTTTTCCCTCGCCGCCCTCCACAGCCACTCATTTTCTCTGTCTGCTCTGCCTGTTATGCAACCACAGGGTGGATGAGTCACTCCAGTTTGCCAAATTCAGCAACATACATCTTATGTGTGGCACCCGCTGCTGGTGGAAGTGGGACCTCCAAATGAGCGCTGAGGCATGGCTGATGGGTCCCTCAGTGACGCAAATGGTTAACGGGGCCACAGAAAAAAGGAAAAACAAAACAAGAAAAGAGAAAGCGTTGTGTTTCCATAGAGTGTGAGAGCACGAGGCATGGGATGGTATACTGTCCATTTGTATTACTTACATTATGGGGACTGAAACCTGTTAACACAACTTTGTGGGGCGACTGTATTTCAGTGGGTAGAGCAGTCGTCTCCCAGCCAGAGGGTCAGAGGTTCAAATCTCGGTGCCTGCAGTCCACGTGTTGAAGTGTCCTTGGGCAAGACACTGAAGTGTTAGATTTCGGCCTTTCCTTTCAACTGATCTTTTTGGTTAAGCTTAGGCAAACATTCGTAGATGGTTAGTGGACCGGTTTGGTTCAGGGTTAGATGGACACAATTTGATTTTGGTCTTGATGGTTAAGTTTAGGCGCCAGCTGTTACTGGTTAGGTTTAGGCACTTGGTTAGGCACCCTAGGTTTAGGGTTAGGCGGTGGATCCTTTTGGCTAAGGTTAGGCACCATTGTTAGTGGTATTAGGGTCAGGCTTAGGTGTTAGGCAAGTAGTGGTTATGGTTAAGGTTGGGATGAGTCTACGGGAAATGAATGTAAGTCAATGTAAAGTCCCAAAAAGGAATGAAAACACTGTGTGTGTGTGTGTGTGTGTGTCTTTACCAGTGTTTCTTGAAATATCTTTACCAGATATTTCTTGAAAATATCTTAACAAATGGAACAAAAATCCATCAAAAAACACTCCACACAATGACACACAATATGTAGATACATATTATCTGGGCAGAAATAATAATAAATCAGAAAATAAAAATGAGAAGAGAAAAGAAAATGACACGCCTACCATGATTTGCACTTACGTCAGTGAAATCTCAGAGAGGTTGTCAAACTTAAAAGTAAAACTGTGCAAACTGTATGTCAACAAGCAAACCAAAAAATGGGGTCAAAGACTCTGATTCGTGATGAAGATGGAGAACAACCAAGATGGCTGACAGAAGCTGACTCACAGAATCAAGCGGTGAAAACATTCAGGCTTACCTTCCTCAGTCATTGAGTGATAATATTTTAGTTTCCCATAAGTCCCAAGCTCTACAACATCACAGCAAAAGACAAGGGTCAGGCAACAAACACACAGAGAAAAGGAAAAGAGTGAGCATGACAGAAGAAGACAGGTGCACTGGTTTTATATCACATACTGCACAAACATTCACACAGGGATAAGAGGGTGACGCACAGAAAGATATAGTCTCTCAGAGTCATCACTGGATAAGTGCAAAACGAAGCAGTAAGGATTAAATTGCACATCAAATACATCATAGTCTGACAGTAACTCAGCCTGCCAACATGTTTAATGGCTATTAGAAAAGATTTACAAGAAAACGGGAGGGGGAGGGGCGGTCAGTGTGCTACCGTAACAAAACAGTACAAGGTTCACACAATGAAAACAAACTGAACGAGAAAGAAGAGATTTTACTGGGTCAACATGCAACAAAAATATGAGTCCTCTTCTCCTCTGCACACGCATGCTTATTCAGAGGCTTCATGACTCAGCATTTTATTGCCACAGTGAAACCAGGACAATTAATTTGATTCCCTTACTGTAGCAGTTCTTTGTGCTACAGTAAACAGATAATCAGCACATCTGCCTAACGAAGGAGCCGGGAATTCAAACCTGCAGCAACAGCTGAACAGAAGCCAACGGACCACAGGACGCCACCTCCCACGCTTTGAAAAGTAGCTCGCAGCTCGGAGCCTGTTTCAGCAATGATGACCTAATGGCTTGAGGTTTTCTCTCTGCAGTTTTCTTCACAAGCATGTGGTCAGATACTATTTGTACGTTATTATTGATATTTCACAGCCACTGATTTGAAAGTGTTACTTCATCCAAATGATATAAAATCTATATTTTCTGCTGCAAAAAGCTTCTTTGTTCAGGTTTTGAGATGTTTTCTGCTTCAAAACAACGGAGGTGACAGAAATGTTGGAGCTCAGAGCACTGAAAAATGGCATTTAGAAAAAGTTTTCTGCATCATTTTCAATAAACAGTGTCCCCGTTTCTCTGGATAATCCAAAGATATCAATGCAATCAGTTTTTACTGGAGCTAAACCAAATGAACAGTCCCTATAAAAACGGTATGCTCTGTGTTTTACAGTAATGACCAACTTAAACTCAGGCCAATAAATCCAAAAACCATTTGCATGGCTTGAGACCATTTACGGTAACTCTGTAGAGGATAGAGTGGTAAAACCACTCGCTTTACCATCTCATCAGTGTAATACACGCTAAGTGGATGAACCTCACTGACAGTGTGGAACCAGAGTGAAGTGTAACGTTTCATAAAAGCCATTCTTGGAAAACATTCTGTGTACTGCTCTAAAATGCTTCCTCCTTTTTAAAATGACCAAATCATCATCATTTTAATGAGTGAGTACCAAAAAAACTATGTTCTTACAAGCACTGGCAAACTGAGATTGGAATAAATTATAAAACTAACTTTACGTGGAAAGATTCATTTAAATAATCAGGCTGTCTCCTATGTTACTGTGCTGTGCTCTGTGCTCTCTTCCAGGTGAAATACATCATTTATTGTAATCTGGACGAACCATATCTTGTCAAACACACGGTTTCTAGTTTTGTATATGTCGTAGGTGGACAGTACAATGCGTGCTGTATACACCCACACCCCACAGGCCCACTGGCACTCACACTAATATCCAGCTCAGCTCAAAAGTGGGCGACCACTCCACTCACATGTGAGAGGATTATAGTGCGAGTCTCGTGCCAAATGTGAGACTTGGCAGCCCTGATAACGAGATCTAATGAGAAGAGAACACATCCCGCTGCAGAGTGTCTTGCTCATCGGCTGCACTCCCAGACAAGTGCCTCAGTCCAATCTGATAAGCTGATTTGAGTTGTTGAAGTGTGCCATCACGATAAGGCCAGCCTCTAACTCGGGCTTCTCTGAGGGCAATTAACCCACGATACAGACACTGCCCACAGTCATCTGTCCGTCCTCTGCAGCGAGAGAGAGGTTGTTTACCAGGGGGCTTCTCGTCCTTGTTGTGTGACCTCTAGTGTGCAAGAATGTGTGCACGCCTGCTTTGCCTGCTGGGGGTGGAGGAGTCTGGGAAACTCACAGTCTGCACTGAATCAAAGTGGCTTTTAACATTGATTCTTTCACCCAGCTGGTGTGGGGTGGCACAGAGGGCACAGGAGGGGTGGGGGTGACATGCGTGTGAGTGTGTGTTGGCCTATGTATGATGGGTTGACTGGTTACATAACACACTGAAGGTGCAATTATGTGTCAAAACTAAATTACGGAGGGTTTGAGGTCTGAATTGCTCAACAAGGAAAGGTGCTCATGCACATTTAAATATCTTAAAGAAACAGATCTGATGAGACTGAGAACAGGGGGAAACAGAAAGCTGGGAAAAATTACAGTTTGTGCTTGTTTTATGGGATGTTATGCACCTGACTGTTTCCTAGCTGGTGCAAAGACTCCTCAGCTGAGTATCTAGCAACAGAGCTGGGCTAAACTAAGGTCGCTGCCTGCTGGTTGTAGCGTCATAGCTGAGAGAGGTATGAATTTCTCAGCAGAATCACACATTAGCTTATTTGTTCTTTAACGGTATATGAAACACTGCAACTACAGTGCTTTAAAACATCTATTTTTCTATGCACATAAAAAAGCTACCATTTCAAACCTATGCCTGCATCATCTTGGTGTCATCATTTCTGTTGCACAAGGGGCGGGAGGTCCAGGACACTGAAAATGTTATTGAACCATGCTGATCAATGAAGCCCTGGGTCACCACACAGACAGAACTGCTGGAGGGGGAGCAGCAGTATGGGACAAACTAGAAACGCTGGCTGGATGAATAGATTTACCACCTACTTTAAAAAAAACAAAGAGTTATTGAAACATCAAACTCTGATGTAATGCAGGTTTGCTTTTCTTTTGTTATCTCCTCATTTGCTTATTTATACCGGTGCCCTCAGGGTATTCCTGTTTGTTAAACACACCTCCTCCCGTCTCACAAGTTTAACCAATGGGCATACTGTGAACCCATGTGGGTGGGTCATGGTTAACCCAAATCACACCGAGTTGTCTGTCTGCTCAATAAAAACGGCCTAACATCGTCCAAGGCCATATTAGCATGATGAGCAATCAATCTCAGTGAGAGAATGATCTGCAGGAAAGCACCGGATGGGACAGCTGGTCTAAGCCGCCGTAGTTATCGCGCTGCGCTATGTCATTAAAGATCAGCGGTGCTATGAAAATCCAAATGAAACTGTCAGATATTTGAGATAAATAACAAGACTTGTTATTCATTTTATCTTTGGTTTGGTGTGCATTTAATTCATTTACCATTACTACACGTCTTGTGGTCACATACAGTCGCTGATCTGAGACCACAGAGTTCAGGTCCTGGGCTGACAAATCTTATTGAAGGGTCTGAGCCAAAGCGTGCAGCCTGAATTCCAAGTGCCGTTCTGGGAGGTTCGTTTCAGTCTGAAAGCTCAGACAGCAGAGTGAGAGCCACTCTGCCCATCTCTCAGGCCAAGTTCAATATTTGAAGCCAGTGTTTGTAGCTGCACACTGATGAAACAAGATGTGCAGGCACTTGTACGTGGAACTCACTGTACCAGACTGTTAAAATGTTGTCTTCATTGTAAAAACATGCAGGATTAAAGGTCTATTATTACTGAGGGACATCCACTTTAACAAGCACAGAAAACAACATTTAGATGTAGACTAAACATCTATTGTGTCTCTGGAGGAGCATGTGAATGTCTAATGGTCTGGGGGAGCAGCTAATCATAAAAAGCTACAGAGCTCATTGCCATTAACTGCTCTGTCGAGCTCTTTTTGACCAAGTCCTGACAAAACCAAACAGCTGACAACATTTCTCCATCTTTCCAGTAGAATACACCAGTTCATAAACTAAGTACACTCAGGAGCTGGATGGTGCTGATAGGCAAACCCAAACCACTCCCTCTGAGCCTCTACCTGTCTCACACCAAGCTGGAAGTCAAAAGGAACTCATAAGAGGAGAGAGGATTAGGGACAATGGGGAAAACAATGCAGAAATGGTCACAGAGGGTTTTGAAGGAGAATACATCCACAGAATAGAAAGAGATATTGGAAGGAGAGCATCTGCAGGAATGGACGGTACAGAGTGGACACACAGCACAGCTCGGGAAACGTATACAGAGGGGACGCGTCGATTGCCTCCAGGCTGTTGGAATGAACACAAAAAAGATAGTTTTTTTGGGGAGGGGGGGGATACAGAAATTAGAGGAGTAACTCACCAGAGTCAGCAAATTCTGAAGGGACAGTAGAAGAAAGAGAGATGGGAAGACAGAAACAGAGACAAGATAAATCCAGGTGATACTTCCTTTGACAGGGAACATTAAATCACTGATGAGAAAGGTGCATTAACACCGAAATTAAAACACTAAAGAGTCTCTTACATTATGCTAGTAAATGTATTCTATTATTTGAACTTTGAGGAATAATTTGACATTTTGGGAAACACAACTGTTTCTTGCTGAAAGTTAGACCGATACCACGATATGTTAAATATGGAGTCTGAGCGAGGAGACAGTTTAGCTCCAGACAAAGAGTGAAGAAGCAGGGTGAAACAGTTAGCTTGGCTCCATCAGGCACCAGTAAAGGTCACCAACTAACATGTTAGATCATATTTTAACACGTGTTTATTCCTTACAACATCCAAAGTAAAAAAAAAAAGTTGCCTTTTTAACACTTTGGCTTTTGTAAGATTAAACAAACAGGATAAACTGTGTTCATGAGAGAGCTTCAGAGGAGCTGTTACCTTCAGGCAGAGCCAGGCCAGCTGTTTCCAGTCTCTATGCTAAGCTAAGCTAAGCTAGCCGGGCTCTCGTGTCTTGTTTTGCAGATCAACATGAGAGGGGTATCAATCTACTTACCTAACTCCAGGCAAGAAAGCAAACCATCATGTTTCTCCAGATGTCAAACTATTCCTTAAAGAGACACACACAAATGTGGCCACACACACACACACACACACACACACTCAGCCCTCCACAAACATCAATCTGGGTTTTTTCAGCATCAATTATTTAAAAGTTTGTCCACATTTCATGCTGCCTTCTCAAAATCTGCACATATCTGCAGTAGTGGAAGTACTTAGATTTACTCAGTAGTGACACCACAAGATAGAAAATCTCTGTTACAAGTAAAAACCTGCATTCTAAAGTCAAATAAAGGTACAAAAGTATTGGCATCAAAATTTAGTTAAAGAGGTAAAAGAAAACGTTCTGCAAAATGACCCATGTGAGAGTTGGACAGTTATTCTTATTGGATTATAAACTATACTTCAATGTTACCACTGGTAAAACTGGAGCTGATTTGATGTACTTTATATACTGTATATTTACAGTTTATAATATTATACATTATATTTGGTATTATTACTCTGGATCTGCAAACTCGAGCTGTCAAATAAATGCAGAGCAGTCAAAAGATCATTTATGTCTGAAATGTGGAATAAAAATACACAAAGTACCTCAAAGCTGTACTCAAATACAGTACTTGAGTAAATGTACATTACTTCCACCACTGCAACAAGTAAACCAGCGTGTGTTGCATCAAAGTCATCACAGCCACATGTGGCTGCAGTGGATGAAGACATGGCAGGATAATTACAGCCGGCTGATAACGGCACATGTAAAATGGTTTGGTCCTCCTGCTGCAGGAGAAAGGGAGCAATGAAGGAGTGATGGCTGTTTAAGCTGGAAAAACAGGAACCCGCTAACACAGACACACATACATCTAAGTGGCACCACTTTAAAGGTCTTACAATTGAAAGGAAACCAGTTCCCAGCACTAACAAACCAACCTCAGACCCTCCTTCATCTCAGAAGCACTGGGCAACTTTATTTTGAGAGCTGTCTATGAAAAATGGATGGATGGAGTCCTGCCAGCTCCCTCGCCGCCTCGCCGAGCTACACTTAAAGCCTAAGAGCATGCAAGGACAAGCAGCACAGCCTTTGTCTTTGATGGATGCAGCTGTTTGTCACTGACCGACAAAATGCTCCTTTGTATTAATGATATCAGCCAACGTGCACAGAACACAGTCGCTCGTCTCTGAATGTGGCCTTTGTTGGAGCCTTATGGTAATGTAATCAATGAAATTATTTAACACTTTAAATGAACAAAGCACGCGAGGAGCCCATTTTAAAATGGGCTTGAGATCAATATCATCAGTGTATGTTAACTGGAACGTGCGTTTCCAAATTCAAAATAATATATTCAAACCAAACTGGAGCCTGAAGTGTTGCTTTTGTTCTCAGTGGTCATTAATTCAACCCTCACGTCATGTCAGTTGCTGTCAGTGCATTCATTTCATGTCGGTAATTAGCCAAAAGTCTACACTCATACTGAAGCAGGACCTGCCACTTATACAAAGGAACTTAAGTTTGAGATCGGTTTTTAGATGCTTCATAGTGATTGAGACAAAGTGAGTGGCTTCAGTCTCATGCACGCGTAGTCTATTAATGTCTAAAATGACCAAATGATGAATGGCTGTCCAGCGAGCGACAAGGTGGAGTAACCCTCTGCTGTATGTACACGAGCAGCCGTACAGACCTGCGTTCCCCCAGCAGGCTATGATTTACATTTTAATCACTGAGACTGAAAGATGAATGCACTCGGAGACGAGGCTCCTTGGATTCAGTGTACGACAGCGGCCTGATGCCTGTTAATGGGCACTTTAAGGCACAGCTTGTGAATCTTTCTGAGCTGACTCATTCTAGGTTTGGCTTTCAAGGAATGACAGGTTTTTTCGGAGAAAGCTACCGAGCAGATGAATGCGGTCACATCCATCCCAAGGGGAAATATTTAGTCTGTCCATTGTTTTATGCTCATAAACGACATTTGGACCTTTAACACTTGTGGACATAGAGTACGTCTCTATGAAATGTAAAGGAGAAAAGGTGGTAAACTACAACATCTAGTAACAAGGCACTGGTATTCCAAACTAATATTCATTTTTAAGGAATCAAAAACCTTTCACCAAAGCTAAAAGAGAAGACACCTCTTCAAACCCGCTGCATGTCTCCGTTAACACATTGTTTTTACTTTGACTTTTTCAGATGACGCTGCAACTCGTATTAACGTATTCATCTCCTGCGCCGAACACTGACGCTGCTGTTTTACATTTCCTTTAGCTAACAGGCCTTCATCTTGGATTAAAGGAAAATGATCTTCCACCTCAGCTGTGCTCTGACACAGCTCTCCTTGTCGTGAACGGACTATCTTTAGAAAAGCATCAGCTGAGTGCAGGCACACAGCAGATTGGTGGAGACTCTGGATTTTAAGGGGACATGGGGTTTTTATTTCATTGGTGGGTTGGATTAAAAATGTGCTCATAGCACTGTTGCTTCAATGTGAACAACTAAATCCCTTGCTTATATTTATTTTACATCTGAAAACAGGAGTTAGGTCATTTCAGTAGAAACAAATCAGCCTGAAAGCAGAGACACACCTGTAGAAAGCAAAGAACAACACCTGCACTGTATCATCTGGGTGTATCATGTTTTCTGTGTGCAGTTTGTCTATCTCACCTTCACTTAAAGGGTCCAGTGTGTGAATCATCAGCTGGAAAATGCTGTTCCTCATCAAGCTGTTGTGCAGGGAGGCCGAGCTGCCCCCCCTCTGCAGACGAGGTCTCGACTGTGAGAGGAGAAATGAGGTGTCAATCAAACATCCTACTTCCTGGAATGGGACTCTCTGAGTATGACATGCCTTTAAGTCTAAAGCTATTTCTAATCCAAGTTTATTTAACTAAGTGCATGAAGTCGTGGTGTGCTGTCAGATCATTTAACATTATAAATTATGACCATTTTAGGTACTTGAGCTTGGATTCTTGTGTTTTACAACATTTTCAACACGCAGGTATATTGATATCTGCGAGGGCAGATGAGCGTTGGAACTAACAATTAGCAGGAACCAACAACAAGTATGACCCACGTACGGAATGAGGCAAGTGATTTGCTACAGAGGTTAATAGTTTTTGAGGGATTGGATCTGGAACTGAACACAATTGGAGACACTGAACAACATTATCATGAATCGGACGATGACTTTGACCCTGAAAAAAACTTTTTTAAGAACTCTGAAAATAACTGCAAGTATTACACGGATGAGCAGTTTAACAGCAATGT